TAATTTTATGTTTTCTCGACGTTGTCAAGCCATTCTGAATCGAATGAGTCAAATTTGGAAAAAGTATGTGTGTATGTGAACAGATTTTTTGCCGTAAATCGACGTTTTCTCGAAAACGGCTGGGCCGATTTCAATAATTTAAAAGCCATTCGATGTATCTCGACGAGGACTATCGTTTGTCAGTTTTGTGCGACGATCTGCCAAGCCGTTTTTTTGTAATTTAAAAAAAAGTGTTAAACTTTTCGTCCACATTTAAGCTCATCATACCGAACAATAAAAAATCAAAAACTGTTCGAAAGATATTAGTTGGGAATGGTACTGATTAGTTTTAGGTGAAAATCTACCGAGCCGTTTTCTTGTAATTAACTGTTAAAAAAATTTAAGCCGATTTTTATGCAATTTTTTTAGCGATATATATCAAGGTCCTATAGAACTTACAGAAATATTACGGCCTTACGACAAGTAGTTTATTTTTAAAAATTCATCAAAGTTTGAGAGAATTGGTAGTTTTTTTGACGTTAGCTAAAATTAATTAGACGATTTACTTGGTATATCATATAGTACTTAGCAGTGGCGTCGGAACCAAATTTTTGATGGTGGGCTCTGTTTTTTTTTTTTTTTTTAGATAGACAGCCAGTGGTCTTGTTTTTTTTTTTTAGAGATATTAGCCCATATAATTTTTTGAAATTGATGGTGGGCTGAGCCCCCCCATCAAAATTCATGGGTGGGCTCAAGCCCACGCAGCCCACGCGGTTCCGTCTTCATAAACATACTAAACCATTAAAATCCTACGGAAACTGGTTCAAATATAATAAATGTTGATTTTTGAAAAGTTGCTTTTTGTAAATACTCCGAATTAACGTGTTCGTTCGTTTTCAATTATGTGTAATAAATCCACTCATAAATTAATTTATTTTTTATTGATTAAGTCGATTATTTACACATATCGGGAAGTTCATGTAACTTGCCTCAAGGCTAAATACCAATACCAACTAGTTTTTATTAATATGAGAATGAGGTGTTTTGTTCGACAAAGAAACATATTGATATGCTAAAACATGAGTAAAACAGCCAATGCGTCGAAATAAAAACAAATATTTATTTTGTTTATACGTTTCGTGACGCTTTATATATAAATCTACAAATTTTTTTACGTTTTAGAAATCCTATCGACTTGAAATTTCTGGACTTTTTCTAAAATTTCATTAGCTGTCGATCAATGAAAAAATCAGGACGACAAAATGTGTGGTCCAGCCAGACTACTCCGACCGTTCGAAGGTAAATAAATATCCGACCGACGGAGGGTTAATTAATTTAAAAATTACAATTGTTTAACACCTTGGCTAACACGTGTATACGGCTGTCGTTTATAGACAGCATCCACATCACATGACGAGGACCTTTGCTTCAAGGCTTATCACTGTGAGTTAAAATATTAAAAATACTAATTTCATCCTAATTTTTAGTTATTTTGAGGTGCAATTTGTAATTTTCAAATATATTTTTATACATATAACGACTGAAAAATTTTAAAATATGTTGTTGTGCTTGGTTCATTCAGTAGTACATACTACTAGGCGGCACCCTATTCCGTATGGCAACGTCACTCCAGCAAATAAAAACACAATTATAATAATTTAAATATTTAATTACACGATTTTTTAGAAAAATTATCTTGATAATAGTTTTCTATTTGAAACTATATTGAGTTATAAGCAACTGATATTTACTAATTATATAGTGATATTTTCGAATATCTAAAATCGTTGCTATTCTTCTAAATTGCGAATATTTGTGTAAATGATGGCAGGACTATTATTGGTAATTAGTGGTCATAAAATTGTATAAAATATTATCAACACATTTTTCGATTGATGTTGAACCTTTGTATGCAATAGTGTAGTATCAGGTTATTTTCTAACTAACCTTGCATCGTCAATCGATTTTCGTTTCGTTTTATGATACCGTTTTGACAGTTGTTTAGATATGATTTAGTTAACTACTAATTTATTACAATTAGACATCATACCTATACTTACCTAGCATCGATTCAAAATGGGCAGGGTCGATTCCGTTCTGATCTATTTCACTTCCAGCAATTGATAGGGCGTCTTCTCCGTCCGTGAACCCGATAAGAACGGGCACTTGGGTGAACTGACCGCGCTCGAACATGGCACGGGGGTCCTCTTGAATAAATGATATCGTTGAATTGCTTAAGCCAGCATCTAAAACTGGACCCCATTTTGTTACTCGGGCTGTTTGTTGTAATAATGTTGAAGCCTAAAAAGAAAATAATAATTTTATTTATTTTATTTTTGGTTGTGATTGTGAGAATTGATGTAATTTATTCTAAAAATTTAATTTTGTTCTGTATGAGTGCTAATGGTCACTACATACCCCATTTTTTGTATTTTCTAGTCAAAGAATGAAAATCTTATGATGAATGCTCCAGCTGAGAGCATCGGTGTGACCCAGCCTAAAGGGTGGATATTTAGTGATTGTTTTTGCAATATCTAAGAATATTCGTCAAACACAAATGTGCAGACATTCCATAGTGTGGAGATGGCTATATATGTGTTCAATGCTGGTTATTTTGAAATGTCCAGTACTAGGTGCCACTTTGTAAAATCATATTTTTTGTTACCAAAGTTTGATTGATAGTATTAATTACTGTTTAGCAAAGATTGCGTTTTTGTTAACTTAGTTTGATTTTTAACTTTGTTATCTAACATAAATCACAATTTAATAAACAATTCGTAAAATATTTTTTGATTTATTTATGAAAAATTTTAGGTGTCCGGCACTCGGAGACTTCCCCCTATACATAATTCACTTAATCAATTACAATTGAGATTTAGTTTTAGGTAAATGTTCACTGTATTTTAAAAATAAAATTTTCACTTTTACAAAATATTAATCAATACGATTTTCAATGACAGGCCAAACCGTTTCTTTGAAATTAGCAGAAAAGTGTAAATTTATTTTTCAATATTTTAGCCCAAAATCTTGAAAATTCAAAAACCGTTTGAAAAATATTGGTTGGAAATCGCATTATTTCATTTGTGGTAAAAATCGTATCTTTGTGAATAATGTTGAATTTTTTTTTGACTAGTCAAAACTTTGAGGCTAGATGAACCTTTGTACGGAGATAGATTTATAGTCTGTAATAATATAGTAAAATATTTTAGGTCTAGGATAAGCGGCTAAATGATAAAAATTAACCAAAATTATGAGATTCTAATCAGAATCTACGCCCTTTTGCATATATGCAGGTTCCGTGTTTCGTGAATAGCTACTGATTACAGTTTTATCTTAAGAACCCAAAGTGGATGAAATAAAATGTGTTAAACAAATTAATTTTATTTATATAATTTATATAACAGATTTTATAAGAGTGTTCGAAAGACATCAATTGGAAATTGATTAATATTTAGTAAAAGCGAATATTTTATTTTCAAAATATACAGTGAAAATTTTTCTAAATCTAAATCTCAATTCTTATTGATTAAGTGGATTACGAATACATATCTGTAAGTTTTTTTAAAATTTAATTTGAGTGTATAATTGAATTCAAACGACTTTATTATTATAAATTAATATGATACGGTAATAATCGTATAAATTAGATTTTCAATAATAAATCCCCAAATAAATAGTGAAAAGGTAGAATATAATTTTGTGATTATCTCAATACAATACAATGTAATAAAGAAATGAAAAGAATATTTATAATCCAAAACATTTAATTTGCATTGAAGCCCAGCCTAACTGAATTATAAGAAATTTGTAATGAAAATCTACTGCTTTTCAACATGTTGATTGAGGAGGTCTTCAGACCTATACATGTTTTATTTCAAAAATAGTTTCATTTGAAAATTGTAATTTAGTGACGGCGGCAAAAAGTGTTCTTTGGATCCTGTCATATGATGGGATCCAAAGAAGGATATCCTTAGTGATTCTATCTATAGGAATCACTAACTAGTTGGTTCTACTATGCCGCTAAATTGAGGATAGATTTATAATAAATGTGATACTGTTATCAGCGTGTCAAGAAAGAAGAAGAGGCATGTTGACACACTGTCGACGCCCGCAGTCAAGCTCTTAATTCTTATTTTGAAAAATCTATTCAAGTACGTACTTTCAAATGATATTTAAAATTTCATATAATGATCTAAATACTGTATGTATGTCTTGGCCGATTTATAAATTTAGATTAGTGTCTGATTCATTATTTTGGATCAGAGTGCATTCATTAGTGATAATCCCATCTAATGTGCATATTGATTGATCCTACCTTAACATTTCGTAAGCATGCTATTAGATTATCAGTTGGTCTTCTAAAGCAGCCGAACAGATAAGCGACACGATTTAGTGTGCGCAAATGCCTCTTAGGATCCTGAACCGTTCCTTCCGTTAAAGCGTTTCCGCTCATCGCAATGATTCGATGGAACATGCCGTTCGACCATTCACCCGCCGTCATGTGCAATGTGGCGCTCACCGCACCAGAACCGTGCCCGATCAGGCAAACTGAATCCTTGTTGCCGCCAAATTGTTCAATATTTCTATTTACCTACAAACAGTAAAAAGATAGACTATATTTAATAATATATTTAGGTTTTTGTGAATACATATTTTTGGTGTCTATTTTTATACTCGATTTTTGAACTTCTTTAGGCGCAACTAGGCTGTAAATCCGTGCAAATGCAACGGAAGTGCGTTACGGCAGATAAGATAAGAGTCGAGTGCCAATAATTCGTCATTCGCTCTCGACAATATCATTTCTATACGGGTCGATTGTGATTAATCGTCGCGTATGTGAATAGAGATCTGTCGTTGTATCCGTACTGGCATCAACGATATATGCGTGCCGATATCAACAAAGAAATCGGCATATATAAATAAACATTTTAAAGTTACATCGTAGTACAAATCTTAATTCAACGAAAAATGCCCGAAGCAGAAAAATATTTTACCCTGTTTCTTGAAAATATAGATTAATAAGATTAATGATTAGTAAGTTTATCGATTACAAATTATTTCTAGATTATTCGTAGTTTCTATAAATCTTTGAAGTTATTGAAATGGAAAATATTTTTTGCAAAACAGATATTACAGCTGTTCAAAGAGTATATCGCCAGCGAAAAAGTAAAAAAAATACCATCAGTCAATGAATGTATGTTAATTTTAATTACATGAATTTGTTTAGGCGTTGCTTAACATAATCCACAAAATTGAAAACGAATATTATAAAAGTTATTAATTAGCAATTACTTAATTTCTCTAATAAAGGTTCACTTCTAAATGCTAATTACAATGACAAACCGATTTTTACATGACAAACTTTAATTACATATTGTTTTTAAATATTATACATATTTTTAATGCTATTATAAATATATAATTTATAATTTATCATTATATAAATGTGTAAAATGGTTGACACTAATAGATGTGTGCATCACGAGTGTTACCATATTACTAATAAACATTAAACAAAATTATTTTTTACTTAAATACCACTTGTACAGTAGCAAATAAGTTTTACTTCAATCGCGTGTGAACATTACGCGCACTCTTTTTTTTATTATGAAACTGTGTTTACAATCCTGATTAAATGCACCTACTTTAGCTGATTTTTTTTTTTGAAGCAGAACCTTTCAAAGTCGACCAGTTTTGCAAATTTTAAATAGACAGTTCAACAAATAGTCTTAATTTTAGAAAACTTAAGACAGAATTAATAAAAATTAACCCCAATAATAAAAAAATGATCACAATTTTACAAAAGCTCTATTTTGTCTTATATCTTGTATGTCTTAATCTTATATGTATAAATATAAATCTTTAAAAAAATTTATTTGACGTTAAAACATATTATTTAATCAATTAGTCGACCATGTTTAGAAATAAAAAATAAATTTATTAACAATTTTACAGTGTGAAAATTTGCATAACTAATTGGAAGATTTATCTTTTTATTTGTTTATTATTTTTGTAGTGATATTCATCAAAACTTTCACTAATTTTAATTCATTTGAGATTAATTCGAAGTTATTTTTTTTTTTAATTTTTTAAATTCTTTTTTATTCTTCTTTCAATTCAAGTAAGAATCTCATTTAAGATTTATTTTGAAAACAAAAACATTTGCAATGTAATTAACGAGTGTGCGTAGTTTTCCAAAGTATTATTATTTTCATTATATGTACTTGTTTCCTGAGTAATTATTATTTTTATAATTACTCAGTTACTAACTAACCCATCTCAATGCTGCAGCTTGATCCATGAGTCCAAAGTTTCCAGGAGCTTCTCCATCTACTGTAGTGAAAAATCCAAATATACCTAACCGATATGCCACGGTTACTACTATGATCTTTTGCTTGAAAACTAATTGGAAAGGATCGATATCATTTGCACTGCCGCTAATGAACTCTCCTGGATGAAACCACACTGCCACACTGTAGCCATCTGATGGCGCTGGACCTACGAAAAAATCAAGAATATGATACACATAATTGATGAACATAATTGTAAGTATTAAATGAATAAATTTATTTATTTGTTGTGCCGATAAATGGAGAGGCAGTCTCTACCAGCGTGTAATGTACACATAATCAATCATGATTATCTTGATGAATCGACAGGATTTTTTTCGAAGAGGGTAAATTCAATTATATTTTTTATACTCATATTTCAGTGCAATCAGAATGTTCTATGAGCTATTAGGCTGAAACTTCTTTATACTTCGTATTTTTAGATGGAAACCCAACTGTTTATCCATTCATATTTTATTATTTTGTTGTTAGAACTTATCTACTAAAGCTGATATTTTATTCAATTTGTTGTAGCAATTTAGGCAAAGGTCTTTTGCATTTGCAAGAATATTTACGATCTATATTTCCAAGTAATTGATATTGCTGCATAGGGGTTGTTTGTGATGGGGCAGTTTTTCAATGAAAATCATTTCATTTAGCAAAAATATTGAATTTATCATATGTTGATCACGAACGAGCACGACATTTTATATTTACATTTTACGAAACTTAAACGAATAAATTGCAATGCATTGTTTTTAAAAGATTTCAAAACAATACTGCGTAATGAGTATTGCATATGATGTGTAGTGTTAGAAGTATCGAGGCAAAAGATCGATATTGAGTACTTTAAAAAGTATCTAATCAAAATATCGATGCCAAAAAAATATCGTGGCGAAAGTATCGATAGTACTCAATATCGAATTTTGAGTACTTTTCATAAAAATCAAACATAAGTGCAAGAAAGATCTAAAACTCATTAAATATCATATCACAATATTAGAATGAATTCTATTGCTTGTATCTGATGTGTTAAATCAGAATCATTTTCAATATTGTAAAATGTTAACAGTAATTTTTCAATACTAATTTCAAATTCTATACTTCTTAAAAAAAATACAAGTTATAATAGTTGAGTATTTTTGATTAAAACAATATAATAGTCTGATACTATATTCAAAATGCAATTTTATTCATTTTTAAGTATTTTTAAGTACAATAATATTTTTAATATTTTTAAGTAAAATAATATTTTATAATTGTTGAACATTTTTATATGAATAATTTTAGCGAGCATGCAACTTTAAAAGCCGTTACATGTGTACATAAAAGTGCAATATGAACCTCTTTGAAAAGCAATAAACATTCAGTTTAATGACGGCCAAAATAATATTTCGGCACTTGAAAAACATCCCTTCGGAGCGATGGGATTTAAAGTTTAAATGGTTCCGAGAAACTCAAACCCATTTGTTTGCATGCTGATATTCAAAAATTTCAATACATGAGTATTTTGCGTAAAAAAGAATCGAAATATATTATTTCGAATAATGATACTCAACCATTTCAATATATTAGTATTTTGCGTAAAAAAGAATCGAAATACGAGGTGTGTTCAAAAAGTACCCGGAATTACTAATAATTAAATTTCGCGGGTCTGGAGTGTCTGATTGTCAAATTTTTTTTTTATTGTGTTGGTATACATGCCCCTAAAGTATGATGAAATTTTCAGCTATATTCACTGTTTACTTTGTCTGTGGTAGTCGCTAAGGTTCGACGTGTTTTTCTGAGCTCGGCGATTTTTACAATGGAAGAATTGAAAAGTCAAAGAATTTGTATTAAATTTTGCGTAAAAAATGAAATAAAGTGTTGCAAAGTGCAAAAATTCACCAGATATGGCTCCGTGTGACTTTTTCCTATTCCCAAAGTTGAAGAGACCCATGAAAGGACGGCGGTTTTCCTCGATTGAAGAAAATCGCTGAGAGTGCTCAAGGACATATCAAAAAGTGAATATCAAGGGTGCTTCGAAAATTGGAAAAAACGCTGGCATAAGTGTATTATATCTGGGGGGGACTACTTTGAAGGGGACCACATTAATGTAGACGAATAAATAAATATTTTTTTGAAAAAACGAAAATTCCGGGTACTTTTTGAACAGACCTCGTATAATATTTCGAATAATAATACTCAACCATTTCAATATATATATAAAAAAATATATTTACATTTTAAAATGTAATAAACACAAAATACTAATATGTATATTGAAATCGATTAATATTATTATTTGAAATAATTATATTTCGATTCTTTTTTACGCAAAATACTAATATATTGAAATTGGTAAGTATTATTATTTGAAATAATCATACTTCGATTGTTGAATATGTTTTTATAAAACATTTAAGGTACTTTGAATCATTTTATTTTTTCATTTTACATAAGCGTAATAAATAAACATCTTTAGTTATTAGTGTGGTCATATTCATTTTGGGTTTTTGAGCAATAAATTCTGAGACTAATGACCCTTCGGGATCATTTTTTGACACTTCTTTGAACAATTATGACCACCTAGGGAGACTATTGCTTTGCATTTGGCAATGAGTGGGGTTAATAGTTGGTCGATGAGTGGTTTATAGATTACGCTGTCGATTCTTTTTGAGTACTATCGACGAAAAGAATCGATATTGGCAAATAGATCGAGCTAAAAAATCGATAGCAAAAGTACTCACTATCGACCGCAAAGTATCGATATTTACTCAGTAGTCTATATTTCGTTCTAACACTAAATTGATGTGAAGTCACCTTAGAAAATAATTTGATGGCTAATCTGTTCCTAAGCATTGGCAAAAAAAGATCTGGATACGCACATTTATAAATGCGTTATTTTTGCTTTGTCAATACAATTTATTAATCAATCATTAAACAGGTGAAATTAAAAGTTGTAATTTTTAATATAGTCAAAATTATTAAAAGAGTCGTCCACCTAATGAATGTGACTTTTTGTCAGCGTCAATATAATTCGTTGATCAATCATTAGACAGATGAAATTTAAATAATTTCTGATATTATAATTTTGACATACGAATATTAATACAATATCTTGGCGTCAACAATATAAAAGTGTAGTTAACCTCCTGTAGTGTATGTTATTAAAAACGATAAATATTTAAATACGTAATTTTTTGACTAAAGGCAAGTTCATACATTGAGTTTTAGCATCTCTACACATTGTGCTTTTTATTCCAAACATTAATTAGTTTTTGTAATCAAGTTATGAACTCTTGGTGAAAAAGAATGGGTCACAGGCATTTATAAATAGGTACAATATTTTTGCTGAGAGTCGACACAATTTGTTTAAATTTAAAGTTTTAATTTATGATATTATAATTTCTTTATACTATTTGACGTACATATTTCGGCGTTAACAATGTTAAAAGTGTTGTAACTTTATGCAGCATCTGTTGTAACTTATGCATTGAAATTTAGCATCTTTGAAATTCTGCCTTTCATCCGAAAAGTTAATGATACTTTGTAATTAAACCATAAACTCTACTGCTATGCTAAGTTTTGTTAAGATCGTCAATAATTTTTTTCAACAAGTAATTACGAAAAAACGGCTCGGCTGATTCTTACCAAAATCTGATATCTTTCGAACAGTTTTTGAATTATCGAAACCGGTTCAAGATTTTTGGCGAAAAATTCTGCACTTATCTGGTAATTATAAAGAAACGGCTTGACCAATCGTCTTGAAAAACTAATTAACACGAGTTCCATCAAAAGCCGTTTAAATTCTTGATACCAGTTCAGCCATTTTTGAGAAACTTTGCCGAAAGGTGAAATTTTTGGCTCACATACACATACATACACACTTTTTCCAATTTTGGCGAAGAATTTGATACGTCGTTAAAATATGAAGTTAGCAAATCGAATTTTCTGGCAAAAACATAAACTCGATCATTCCTTCAAGAAGTTAAAAAAGAATTATATGATATCTACGCTTCATATCTCCCGACCATTTTACCACACCCCGTAAAGAACATGTGCGTGTGAACCCGGAGTATGTTATATACGACAACAGGGCAACCTATGTGGATGGTTCAAACGCCGTTTGACTTCTATTGGCATTACTTTGCAAAAGCTTTTCAGAATTATGAACAGGAAGCAAATAAAAGAAATGCACAATAAGTAAGTAATGCAAAAAAAGTATTTGACAAATAAAATTATCAGGTTTTGCGTAAGATTTTACCAATGGAGCTTAACCATGAAATATTAACCATAAACCGTACGATCTTAGTAAAAAATGCGCCCACAAAATTTATATTTAGCATTGGTTGAATAATGTAGCTAATATTTCGAATTTTTCCATTCAAAATTAAAAATAAGATATTGGTACAGTTTTCCTTCTAGTAGTTTCTTTTTACCTCACATATGGGGCAAAAAGGGAGATGACAAATTTTAGAATAGTGAAAAAAAATTTTTATGTATGGGAATTAACTAGGTAATTTACTGAACATCGTTGTATAGTTGTTTGTTTGATACGTATTATGTGTTGTCATATAGTTGATTCGGTTTTAGACAGTGTAATTACTGAAAGTCAAATTAGACTACAATGGCTCCGCCCTATAAACAAAATTTGCTAATAATTAACTTCCCGAAGGAGAAGTTTCGTCCGCATTTAAGCTCATACTACTGAATCGATTTTAAAAAATCAAAAACTGTTCGAAAGATATTAGTTGGGAATGATACTGATCAGTTTTAGGTGAAAATCTACTGACCCGTTTTCTTGTAATTAACTGTTGAAAAAAAATTTAAGCAGATTTTTATGAATTTTTTTTGGCGAATTATATCATGGTCTTATAGAACTTACTGAAATATTACAGCCTTATGATAAGTAGTTCAATTTTAAAACTCCAACAAAGTTTGAGAAAATTAGTAGTTTTTTTGACGTTTGTTAAAATTAAAATTAGATGGTTTACTTGGTGTAATGATAAGGTATTTGGTCTTAATGAACATACTTAACTATTAAAGTTCTATGAAAACTGATTCAATTATAAAAATTATTGATTTTTGAAAATTTGCTTTTAGAAAATATTCCGAGTTAACGTGTTCGTTCGTTTTTAATTATGTGTAATGAATCCACTCTGAATACTTTTAATCACTCATAAATTA